TAAACATCTCTGATTAATTCATCATTCATTTATCATTCAACTTCACGACAACAACTAAAGGTTGGGATTCTTTTGTATGTGGGATATGTACTTGGAGTAAATGGTAGATGGAGATGAAGACATACTGTCACGGTGCGGTGCACTTCCTGTCTTATTTTGTAGTTTTCTGCCACTCGTGTCCCCGGGTAACTTTACTTCCTGCCTGGTCCCGTCATCCCCTGTGATCGTCTAATAGTTTCCACCTGTGTCCAATCACCTGCACCTCCCTTGTGTATTTAAGCCGTGTGTATTGTTAGTCACTGGTGGCGTCATTGTCTGTAGTCACGGATGTCCCTGTCTACCGTCTAGATGTGCGTGCGTGCGTGCGTGCGTGCGTGCGTGCGTGCGTGCGTGCGTGCGTGCGTGCGTGCCTTTTTGTCTATTAAAGCCTCTTTCGTTAAAGTCTGCGTTTTGAGTCCTGCCTTCCTACCCAACCCTGACACATACGTTCACATCCATCCTCAGTCCAAACGTAGCCTTTCAGTCGAGTGATTCTGGTCACTAATGCACTGCATGGACATGCTGGGAACATCTTCTAATTACTGAAGCCCACTTTACCCCGAGCTTGATATATGGAGCTGCTTTGATTACCTCTACAGTTACTTTAATATAGCACACTTAAAGCTATTTAACATTCTACATGTTGTATTTTCTTGTTTCTGAATTTTAACAACACGATTTATTTTAATGCATTAGAAAAAGCTTGCATGGTGCCAAAGCTCTGCGGCTAGAATGCTGGACCAAAGTAAACACTGGTAGTTGCCCTGGAATATATTATGCCTCAGCCAAGGTCATGAATGAAAGATATGCATTTGTTATTGAGGTGGAAGTCGTCTATGTTTTCTGTTGTGTAAAGCAGAGCAGATACATGCTTGCATTGGTAACATAAGTTGCGTTGACAACCTTTGATATCACCTAAACTCTGGAGAGCAATAATTTTATGACACACTAACATTCCTCCTCCATCTATCAAGTCCAGTGGGCACGGAGCACAATGAGCGAGTGGGAGGTGGGGAGATATATGTGGAAAAAAACACAAAACATGTAGAAGATCTTTCTTGAGACTGGTTACATAACAGAGAAAACATTTGCTGCGTCTAGCCTGCTGGTTTCTTACATGACTGTGAAACTGACCACCACAGGGATTTAGGTTATTACAACGTATGTGTTCCAACACATTGTTTTATGTAAATGTGTTTGTAAATGTGATCCGAGGGATTTACATGTCCACTTGCTCTGAATTAGTAGCCCTAGTGTAAGTTTTCACATTAAAGGGCTTAAGTCAAGGGATGGTGAAAGCTGTCTACTCGCCATCTTAGCAAAGGATGAGATGAATCTCATTTAACCAAAGTCACCGAGAACCACCAGCCTGCAGACAAATGAAGCCATATTCACCTCCCCTGTTATTTGAGTCTAGCAGAACATTCATAATGCTCACACATCGTATTCAACACACCTATAGCTGGTCCGTGTGAGTTCAGTATGTCTGTCTGAGAGCAGATGTTGGCACCTTGATGTTCCAAATCTCAGTGTGAAGGGTTGGAGAAGGGGCTTTACATCCCTGGCCCAAATTGCTTATATAATCCCATCGCATGATGAGCTCTTTGAAATAATGCAAATTTATTGAACATGTCAAGAATACTAGTCCAAAAAAACACCACCAAACCACAAAATAGGCCAATAAGATGGAAGGTAGATTATCCAAAGTGGTTTTGAATGGTGATGAAGGTTTTTCCTTTTAATCTTTAATTATAACCAATGGACATTTCTGTACAAACAATGATGGATAGAAAAGGTCCAACACTTTTATTTCTGCCTTTGTTTCCTAATTGTGAAAATCCTGGTATTGCTGTCAGTTATTTGTCCAAACTGATTTGATTGTTATCCAAGCAGAAGTATTTTGCAAAGTATTTTGTTCTGCTCAGACGCAGCTTGAAAGGATTCTACAATTATACCCAACGGAGATTCTGCTGTAGCTTATTCGATTTTGAACCGTCTGTGTGAAGAGATCCTTTGGTGAAATCAGAACACAATTATCTACTTTTGACAACTTGTATTGGAAGCTGAAGGGTTAGAACCAGAGGGATATGGTTTCTAATTGGACAAAGAATGATTCACTGTCCTAAAGCACAAGAAACCAATTATGTTGGTAGGTGCTGGGTGTAAACAGACGTCTTCAGTCAACCGTTCTCTGAGGAGACGTTTCTGAATTCCTGATCAATCAAATACAGTCAGGGGGTGTAATGATGTGTACAGATAAATATTGTGTTTGCAAACCAACAGGGCAGCGTGTTTGAAATGCAGCCGCTGTGACGGAAACAAGAAGAATCCCAAGCTGACTTTACCAGTGGCGCCAGAGCGTAGATGTTGGTTCTCCTTCAAGAATCTGATTAACAGGTTTCATAAAGTCAAATCAAGTAACTCAAAGCCATGTACTGAATATTCTCCCGAGATGATTTACTTACGAGTCCTCCCTCTGTTTGGTGGAAATGGATGGAGTTACACGCAGTGGAGGATGTTCATGAATCAAAGGTCAAGTCGTAGGGGTTTTGTATGCAAGGTCGAGTGCAAGTCACAGAACAAGAGCACTTCTCATTAGCGCTTTCCTGAAAGGTGTCCCTACATTGTTGTTATGCAAATTACGAATCATTTTCAGATGCTCTACATGGCAGATATCCTGCGCACCAGAATATGTCAGCTCCATTCTTTGGGTACAGTGCATGCTATGTTATATACTAATGGAGAAGCAAAAAAAACTACTGCTTAGTGTTGGACTCTATGAAGTGATGTTGAATATAAGAAGATTGATGTGTGAAGTTTTTAATAATCTTCTGAACATTCATACCGGATACTAGATATTTAAATTGACCGTTTTGTGCACACATTTAGTGTAAATAAATGAAAAACTATTTCAGAGTGATATATAAAGACACAGATGTGTGGATGTGGATCAGTGCATTTTTAATACAATGCACCAATATCACACTACTTCCAGCTTGGTAATAAGGAGTCATATTGTGTAATTAAGTAAGTGATATCCAGGTAATAGAACAGGGTTTAAAATATTATAAGAACAATCATATGGGGGCAACAAGGATCTTTCTTCTAAAGATTAGAAGAAACAAGTATATTATAGTACAGTAATGTGGCAGTATTATGGTCATATGTTAAAAATAAAATCAGTGTTAAATCATGCAATATTTGGGGGAAAAAAATAGTGCTGTGGTTGCATTAACGAGGTAATAACCACGCAGCTTTACCCAGATACATTTTAAATTCACAGGTGTTAAACTGCTACATCAAAAACAGGAGAAAAAGAATACAAGCAAATACACATCATTGAGGCTGCTGTTAAAATAAGCGCAGTTGTTTTCGTTGTACAGTGACTGGAAATTGAATTTGGTTTTAATTTGAGGAAGCCTAACAAAGACACACAAGAGATGTCAGGTAACTTTTAGGTCCAAAATGCTCTATTGAGTCAGAGGCGCATGGGAAGCTTCCCCATTCTCCCTGTCGGCACCTTACGGCAGCACTGAAAATAAAATAAAGAAAAGCCCCATTCGCCTGCCCGTATGTCTCGTACATCTTCATTCATGCGGAAGGCCGTCCGTCAATTTTACTGCACATCGGCTTCCTCTCCGCGCAGCATCGATGATAGATGGACCTAAGTGCAGCTAGATAACTACGGCAGGGGATGATAAAAATGTGAAAACACACACCCTAGACAGGAAATTGGCCATTTTAGAGCAATTGACACAGAGGAGCTTGGAGTGATGGCACTTCCTGTAATGCTCATCCTCTGTAAAGCCTGGATGTCGGGTGGACTGCTGGGAGATGGCTACAGTCCACTGGACAGATTGCCGACCTGCCAACCTAATAGATCTCATTTATTCATTTTTTTTTCTCCATAGCTATTTCTTCCTTTCAAAAGGGTCAAGCCTAAGATGAAAAAGTTTTATCTGATATCCTCGTAATTGTAACAAGTTAGGATATGGTGAGCTAACAATAAGTCATCGAATGAGGTGGAATTAAACAAAGTAGGACAACAATTATTTGTCAGCCAAACAGGTGTGTTGATGGATCCTGGCCGAAACACATATTTATTGACATGACCTGTGTTCACATGGCAAGATGTCATTCTCCCTGTTTTAGAGCAAGCAGTTCGTACACGTGGGTGTGAGTATCACTTCAGTGCTGATTAATAATTAATCTGTGTGTTGTCGGAAAGTGCAACTGGTCCAATACTTCTCAAATTGCATTACCTCTGAGACCAGACGATTGCATTGCAGGAGATGATTCGCTTATGGACCGGCTAAAAACAACATTTTCTGCCTTTTGATTAGGCAAAGCATCTCGAAAGGCAAACGAAGGAGAATTTGTGGTACTACAGGGATCACAGGAAAAACCAGTACATTCAACTCATGTTAAGCACATAATTGAATAAATCCAATGCAGCTAAATAAAAGTGTGCTTCAACACTTCTGAGTTACAACCCAGAACCTCAACTGGATTATTACAGTCACCCATAAACTACATTCATATACAACTGAGTTAAACAAGAACCTTTTTGAACCCTGAAATTGACAATAATTACTGTTGTGACATGCCTCCTGCAACCTGCGTGTGAAGCACCCGAAATTCATGCATTCGGATTATGTTTCGGCGTTCATGTATGGACCAGTGATGTTGATTGGCACTAATTAGGACATGAGAGGACATCATAAAATTCAACATTTTAAGTTAGATGGCTGTGAGATGAGTCGCCTGTTGATCACACCCATACACATTAGCGCCTGAGATGGTGTCGTGTTGTTCTCTCCATGCTTTTCCTAACAGTGTTAAATGTCGGTTGGTTTATAATATGTCAGGCACGGCCTGCGAAACACGTGCATTTCAGTACAGCCTGAATTTAGAGATGATGTCAGATTTGCCATAATTTTTGGTTGTGCAATGATACTCACGGGCAGTAATTGCTGTCCTGCTGATTCCAACGAGCTGCTGGAGCTGCTACTGTGCAGAAAGTTGGAAGCTGGAGGTGTGAGCTGGATAACTTCTCTCCTTAATCCACATACCCTCGCAGCACTCCTTCTTCACTTGATCAGCCACCTGCAGGGACCAAGCAACAGTGGAAACCTTACTCCCAAGCTGGTAACACACATGCGTATATTACTGCGCCCCTGTTGCCAGGGAAACATTTTGACATCGTAAAATGACCCTAAACCACCAATACATTGAATGTGGATGTTTCTGCATTAGGTCAAAGTAAGTGATACAGCACAGGTAGTCACTCAAAGAACAAGTAGCTTAGTTGTTATGTTGTACGAAAGTTATATGTCATGATAACAAGTAAAAAACAGAGTCTTGCATTTCAAAAAGCTGTCTGCGTGTAAAGAGCCTGCAGTTGACACCCATTGGAAATGGAGACAATATGAGGAATGACAAATTATTTTATTTTCTTCATCCATTAACCAAGTAGTTTGCTTCTTTAGTTTAACAATGTTGACAACCAATTATTGTGTGTTTCTGCAAGAACGATGCACGACTTATTCCTAAGACATGGTTTCGGTTCAGATAAGTCAACATTTATTATGTCATGCGAAAAGGACAATAGCAACATTTTCCTTTGCAGACTGGATTTATGAAGCAAGACTAATTTACTCTTTTTATTTATACTCTTAATTATACTCCACAAGGTCAAAAGCAATTTTCTAAGAAGACATGTTTCAGTGCATTTTTTCATCCTGATCTTAAGAGAGCTTCCACTGAAAGGCCTCAAACATCGTAGGTATGTGGTATAAAAACTGGTATGAACAATCAATACGAATAGAAATTCCCCGCTTTAACTGAAAAAGGCATGCTTACACCGCAAGCTGAATTCACAGAAAATGAACACGGCATATTAACATTGGAGTCAACATGAATGTCATGTAAAGTTAAAAAGATGAATACACTGAGCATAATCAGCCTAATATAGTTCTGATGTGATTAGACAACATAAATCCATTATGTGCAGCAATATAATATCCCGAAGAGGCCATTTGCAAGTCAACACAACAGTATGTCTGCTCTTCGATACTTGCTGTCAGTAATAACCATGTGCTCCATTTCCCTTTCTGTGGTTGATCAGACTTTGTATGAGACAACACACAACAACAAAATTATATTTTTGAATAATTGATTTTGTTTAACCGTGTTTTATATGCTACCAGGGTGCCATATTTTGTCCGTGGTACTGACACACTCAACGATGTACTCACACACGTCTAACAGTAGCTGATGCATAGATCAGCAGGGATGAGCTTCCCTTTGATTTCCTAGCTGGTGGAAGTGAGACCATGGATCGAGAGCAACCTGCAGGAGCGTCTGTGCTGCTGTAATTTGTCTGCAGAGTTTTTTGGCAGTAACAAAGACATCTCGTTCTATCTCTGCAAGATGTTCTACATCCGCCTTGTTACTGGCATAACAATTCCATTTCAATGTTTTTTCCAGATTATTTAATAGCATCTGTTTCTAGGTTTACAAATCACATTGTTAGTGACGTGGTTTTTTGTCACAGCTGCAAACTTGCACATTGCCCTTTTTGCATGATATTAGTTTGCTTTGACTGCACTGTTACTGACGTTGTATAAAATGTGAGAGCACATCTGGATGTATAATATTATTCTGTGTGTATACACTGGGTGGCACTGTGCTAATGTCCTCACGGGTTTATTCAAGCGATAATGGCATTACTTGCTGAAACAGCTTGGAGGAAACCTGGACATCAGCTTCCCATCAAAACTGCTTCGGGTGAAGCAAGGCCCAAAAAGAGAATTTGCTCATTGTATCCACACCTGAAAACTGTCATATTGGGCCTGCCAAAGTTATTCCTGCCACTCTGTCATTGTGAAGGTACCTCCAAGAATATCACCCTCACCACCCCCGCTGCCACCAACGGGCCACTCAGAGTGGCAGGCAGCCACGGCATATTTACCTTTGGACCTTTGCTGAAATATAAAGGCATATTGACATATTGTGAGGACAAAGTCAGGGGATACCTGCAGGTTTCATAAAAAATAAACCCATATAGAAAACAAGATACTGGGGAGAGAGAATATAAAAAACTGCTGCAGAACTTTTCAAATGAAACAAGGAAACATTGAAAATAAAAGAATGATAGATGATTGTGTGAAATTCCTTTTTTGTTCGCAATGAGAAATGACATGCATGTACAGTATATGTTAATGACTTACAGCAGTAAAGACTTTGGGAAGAAGAAAATTATTTACATTACAGATCATTTAGCTGATGCTTTTATCCAAAGCGACTTTCTGCCCGGGGAGCAGTTAAGGGTTAGGTGTCTTGCTCAGCAAAACTTTGACATGGAGCAGGCGGGGCTCAAACCTCCAACCTTTCGGTTCCTGATGCACCCTCTCTACACCATGCGCCACCGTCGACCCCGTCTATCAAGTGCAAGCGTAATTTTGCAAATCATATCCGTAAACACAAGTCTTTGCTACTGATATTGTGGCTTGGAACCCCCCCACCCCTCCCTGGCTCCGTGACGAGATTAGACTATCTCTAGTTGTGCACATGGATGACTGACTCCTTGGGGCCGGTCGCGTCTCTCACACGCCCTCACTAAATCCCAAGGTGGAAAACAAACTCATTTTCAAAAGGATTAGCTCTGAACACAAGCCACCTGACAGGCAAAAGCATCACCCGCATACACCCCCCCAGGCCATCCAGCAGGACATATCCTGGCCTCAGTGACTAACAGGGATCCCACTGTGCGTTACCTTACAGCAGCACGCACAGTGGGTGATGCCGTTCCAGCTCCTTTGAGACATCTATCGACCGCCCCGTCTCAAACATCAACCATGCTAGGATTTGTAAACGTGCCGTCTAAGCCATAAATGAATACGTGGCTGGAAAACCCAACGTCCCTCAGCACGTACTTATACGTATTTGAATGTTATTAATAGGGTGGGTTGTTTTGATGACAGCCAAAGCATCAGCAAGAAACACGGTCATTGTGTTGTTCACGGCCCCTTGTTTTATAATGGTTTACCTTTTTTTATTTTCCCTCCTGGAAGGGTTTTTTTCATTTTTGGGGGAGTTTTTCCTGTGCCGGTGGTGGGTTTAGGGACAGAGGATGTTGTATGTGTACAAACTGTAAAGCCCTCTGAGGCAAATTTGTAATTTGCGATTATGGGCTATACAAAATAAAATGAATTGAATTGAATTTATTGATCCCCTTGGGTAAATTATGCTCTCCATTTAACCCATCCCACACAGTGGGAGAACTGTGCTGCCAGTAAAGGCACGGGAGGTTAGGTGACTTGATCAGGGGCACTTTGACTTGAGACATATAGCAGCCAGATTTCAAACCACCAACCCTGCGGTTCCCAGCATACCCTCTCTACTCCATGCGCCACCGTCGCCCTAAAGGTGTGGTGTTCTGCTGCATCGATCGGTTGCTTTGTTTGTATTGTTGCGTTTAATGCCGGCCCTCCGGTCTGCATCAAGTTGAAGTGTGCTGACTGTGTGTTTGTGTGACTGTATGTGTTAAGGATATTCATGTACAACGGCATCATGCAGAAAATTATGCCAGATAACGGGGGGGAGGTTTAGATATGTACTATCATGCAAACCAACTTTAACAGTAAATTATATTTGTTTATTAAATATTATATAATTTAGCGAAAACCTCTTAAACCATAATTTGTTTTTGGTAACCAAGCACAGCGGTATTAAAAAAAGGTAAATGTGGCCAACCACACACTGTAACCTTAACTGTATGTGGACCAAATAGATAAAACATTGTTTTCTATGCTCTACATTGCTGATTTCCTAAGATTAATCGCCATATAGGAAAATAATTACCACTGTAATTAAACTGCATACAATTTGCCCTCCTTCCCACAGGAGTCACCTCCCACACCATAAATAGAGGCCTGGCTGGGGCCAACTTCCTTTTGTATCCTGACAGGAGTGTTTCCATGTGTCTGTTTGACTTATTCCAATGTTAAGTAGAGCTTTATTTTGCTTATTCATATTACAATGTAGTTTAGTTTGTATATGACTTGATTTGTTTGTTAGGACCTAGAGACTGACGACCTAATTATGACACATGTTGTAATCTTCTTTATTTCCTTTTTTTATAGACTGTGGACATATGATGCAAGCAACAGAATAAAATGGCATTGCTGAATAAACCGCAAAGTTGATGAAACCTTGTTTCCTGTTGGTTTGTTGCTCCAGTCGAACATTAAATCCACGTCAACCACAGATCAAATCATATCAAAATTGAATTGGTTATTGGGACGTGATATCAACATTTCATGATGGAGTGAGACTTTTTTCATTGAATATAATGCATACGCTGAACACCATACACTTCACATTCTTTGCTTTGCAAAGGGATCTCCATCTGGGAACTCTTTAACAGGAGACAAATCTGTTTTCATTGGTGTGTATTTCTGTGATATTTGTATGTTATTATACAAACTGGGACCAGATGTCACGTTTGTTATTTTCAGCGTGTCGACTCACGGAAACAGTAGTCAAGCTAAAAAACACCATCCAAAAATCCAACCTCCCATGAGGTACAAAGAAAACACTTGCAATGCAAAAGCAATCATCAATCATTTATTGCCAAAATATGTTAGACATACGAGGAATGACATTGCGGTAGGTGATAAGTGCAAGAAAATGGCATGTTCAATTTACAAATTTACCATTTAACCCTTTGGAATAAAATATAAGGCTAAATTAAAAGTAAAAAATAAACTGCACAAGTGATAACCATTCTCTACACAACTCTTAATGTGAGTGTATGTGAAAGTGACAAGTGTATGTGCATGTGGAGTGAAGGGAGTGACCGGTGGGATGTCAGAGTCAGTCTGTGGGGGACTGGGCTCTGTTGATGAGCCCGACTGCCGACGGGTTGGACCTCAGCCTCCTGCCAGCGCTCCCCAAGCCGTTGTTTTCACTGTTCATGATTATTGCACCCCCCCTCTCACTTACACACTTGCTCTCTGCCTTCAAAAAATATTTTACTGTAAAATTCGAACTTTACCTATACCTTCACGTATAGACCCGTTTACAACGTGATTCATAATACC